GAAGTTATACCCTAAAGTGAGAGACATAGACGCCTCATAGAACGTGATGATTAAGCGTTGGCGTAACATGAGTGAAAAAAAATGGCAGCATATCCACGGAGTGAATGATGGAGAGTGGGGCGAAGCATTCGTCCGTCCATGCGTCCGTCTGTGTGACCGTCCATGCGTCTGTTCGTGCGCCCGTCCCTGCGTTCGTTCATGCATCCACCCCTGCGTCCGTTCATGCGTCCATCCATGCATCTGTCTGTGTGTCCGTTCGTCCATCTATTAAACACTCCAAGTCCCACCATCTCGCATCTTTTTATCATATATTCCCCATATAGAAGCACCGCCATTCAGGGGACATTCCAAGGAGGTTACGCCCAGCGAGTACAACGTAGCAACCTTTTCCTGTCAGATAGTGCTCAATGTACATGCCAGTGGCTGCTAATGTGAAATGAGAGACAGGAGGATTCAGCTTTTAATTTCTTACGGCTTGCGCTTCGTATTTGCTTCCCCCATTTAACCACCTCGAATTCATTCATGGTATATACTAGTTCATTGTATTCATGGCCCTGCGGCTCAACGCTCGCTAAACCTTTCTAAAACTAAGGAGGTCACACCCAGCGAGTATAATGTAGCAACCCTTTCTTGTCTGATAGTGCTCAATGTACATGCCAATGGCTGCTAATGGGGATCGCAGCGTGCGCGTTGACTAAAAGCCGAATGCTCCTGTCTCTCATTACCCATTAGCAGCCATTGGCATGTACATTGAGCTCTATTTTTTTATTGTTAAACAACGCACAGAAGAAATCTCTCACCGGCACCACCTTGGAGGTCAAATGTTATACCTATTTCGGGTATGTGCCACTGGTGGTTACGTACTACGAGGGACGTCCAAGCCAGGCCATAAGGAGCTTCGCCCCTAAAAACGTCGACGCGCAAGTACATCAACATAAAACGCCTCCATGGCGTCACAAGCTGCAAACATTTGGCAGTCTGTGTCTTCACGAGGACGTCATATGTCATATGGCGATTGATATGTGGGATTTAACGTCCCGAAACCACCACATGGTTATGACAGACGCCGTAGTGGAGGGCTCCGGAAATTTAGACCACCTGGGTTTCTTTAACGGGCACCCAGATCTGAGCACACGGGCCTACAACACTTCCGCCTCCATCGGAAATGCAGCCGCCGCAGCTGGGATTTGATCCCGTGACCTGCGGGTCAGCAGCCGAGTACCTTAGCCACTAGACCACCGCGGCTGGGCGCCATATGTCATATCGACAAGCGTTGTCTACTTTCTTTTGTTTTGCGTCTTGTTGGCGCTGACCATCATGATTACGTTCCAACTGGCCTAATTCGCTACACATACTTCAATTTTCAAGCTTCATCCTGACGTCACTGTGACGTCACATAGCGGAACGTTACGTGAAACGTTGTCACAGGAAATTATCGTCAGCTCAAATCGGGAGCCACTCGCGGAAGCGTTCCGAAATCAGATTAGGTACAGAAAGCTTTCAATGCCTTCGATCATGGAGATGCGTAGTCGAAACTACGCATCTCCATATTACGCATGTTACGCATGTTAACTACGCGTGTTAAGAGCAAAAATCTTTCGCAAGGAGGGTGAGAAGCGTCAACACACCAATGTAAAACAAAAAAAAACAAGAATATCGCTTCTGCTTTAGAGTCGTCTTATGTGATTGCACAAGAAACACAGTGCTATTGTCGTATAGACCCTATCGCTGTTGACAAACACAGGTGCTGGATGGGTTCCGGTTGTGTGTGCTGGCGTAGCCTATAGCCGTATTGGTGGGGAACAGAAGCCTTAACGAGTAGCCAGTTCATTTTCAAGAGTTCTCTCTCTGTGTCTGGTCAAATATTTCAAATACACTTTTTTGAAGCTAGATACAACATTATAAGAGTTAATCCTTATTTCTGAGTGGCTCGCTTTTACCTGAAAGCTGAAAAAGAGTCTTTCCTTACTCTATCACAACCTAAAACACAAAATTTCTGCTTCGGTACTAGGGAGTAGTGAATGAAGTGACCGGAAGTTTCTCGGGTACAAACACGTTCTGCGACTAATACTATGTCAAAACCAACCGAAAAGGCGAATTTACTTGCGCATTTTGTTTTCTCAGTTGCCAGCCACCTATCGCTAATGACATTCCCAATCGTCAGAATCATCTGGAACTATCTCATACTGATTCAAGAACTCTATTGTAACAACCTTCACCCCAATGTCATATTTGTAGGTTCCGGAGCTATGCAGTCCAAACCTTGCAAACTGGAAGCCCACTGTTCAGCAAATACCCTATACACCACAATTCAGCCCCCCCCCCCCAAAAAAAAAAAAAAAACGTGGCGCCAGTACGGGTATACGGGAACGAGTCGCATGCATAAACGCTGCCGTGCCCAGCCGACTAGCACCGCAAGGGGGTCGAGCGTCCGTATATATAAGGCAGGTTTCCCGATCAGGGATACGGTAAGGGATCGCAGGATAACACGGCCCGAACCGTGAGGCTTTCGGTTATTTGCATATCACTATTGAATATTTCGTCCCTGCCGTACGCAGCCTGACGCTGCAGCCAGCGCATACCTCCTCGATCTGCCCTGGCGTGCGTGCGTGCGTGCGTGGCCCGTGTTTTCTCGAGCTTCGATCGATGCAATAGAAAGCTCAGCAAAATATATATGGAAGACCGGGGGAGGCAATATGGGCATAACGTGGACAACCGATTTCCAGGCAGGTCGGTAGCGTGCTGCTACGAAGAGATTTCGTTTCGCTAGTGGAATCCCCTTTCCCTAACCTTATGCCAGTTAAACGGCGTCCCTATGCACGAACGCACAAGTGGGCGAACGGACTCACGGACGCGCGCAGGCACCGAAACCGTCACTCCCCCTCGCGGCATGGGGAGGAAAGAGGTGGTGCGTATTGGAGTCTCGTCCCCGACTCTCGGCTCGGACCAAAATCGGAGATGGAATTCTTATTCGCTCAAGCAGCTTCTGGCTGTCCACTGACGCTTCGGACCATGGCTGGAGGAATATCTTATGCGCGTGATTCAAGGCTGCATGTACTGACTGCGTGGATTTTTTTTGTTTTTTTTTTGTGCCTCGGAAACGCCTAAAACGCGCTCTCTGGAGGCGCGGTAAACATAACAGAAGAGTTTTGTCATTCGAGTGCAGCGCTTTAACGCACGCACAGTCAAAAGCGTCTGCAACTGGAATTCGGAAAGGCGAGCGAAGATGTGACACAAACACCTTACTGTAGAGTGTGCAGCTACTTCTTCGAAGCTCTGGCCACCTGATGCTCCCAACTCAATCCACCAGCAAGGTCGTTCTGGTTGAAGACTGCACAGAAATCCGACTCCCACCAGAACCCCGTTTATGCGAAAACGCATAAATGCTTGTGTTTACCCTATTCTGTTTTTTTTTCTTTACAACGTGCCGGAAACCAAAGCATCTTATGCACAACAATCACTGCGTTCTTTTGGAACGCAACGTTTTGTTCTTTTGGAAACACTAGAACAACAACGTGGACGAAACCAAAGCGCTGTCTCACAACTGAATGTTTGTCAAACACACATTAAAGAAGAAGAAAGGCTACTTTACCTCTCACACCCATGTGAACTCATTGCAGCAATCCAAGAGCGCAAAAGAAACAGTAAGCCAGCATTGAACCTTGGAACACGACGAAACCCGTAAAACAGAGCGCGTGTATTCCCCAATACAAGAATTTTTAAGATGCTGTACTTTCTAACTTTTCGTTTGTTCTAATGAGGACACACGGGTGAGAAGGTTGTGATAGTCTTTTTGTTTCGTGTCCTCTTATTAAACAATCATTTGCGAGTCACCGCTGGTATGTCCGGCTTTTCTCTTTTGTCCACGTCGTCTTCGCACTGTTAAAAAAATATTCAAGTACGGTCGCCAACGAACCCAGCTTTCAGTCCTTCTAAATCATTGCGTTTTGTCCATTCCTTTTGTTTACGACGTGTGATATCAGTCGTATTTCACGCGCGAGCAATTTAAAACCTCAAAACTAAAGCCCCACTTTTGCAACAAGCTAAAGTGAGACCTAAGCTTGGAGTCTGCGACAGTAAGGTGTGAAACGTGCATCTCTTCTCTCCCACAGCTTCTGTATATGAATCGAAAATCGCCCTGAAAAACGCAACACTTGTACTGATGTTTCGACAAAGAAAAGAAAATAGGAGGAAAAGAACAGCAGGGAGGTTAACCAGCCTATAGGCAGCCGGTTTGCTACCCTGCGCATGGGAGGGGGTGGGGGAGATGAAAGATAGAGAGCAGATAGGGAAGAGAGATAAATACAGCACATTCGGCAGCACACGCGCGCGCACTCAGTCATAGTCCAGTCTTGTCTTTCGCGGTGGGTGACATTGCTGTTACAGCCGCTTGTTCAAGTCCGTGTCGCGTAGGAATTTCAACAGAGCTTTTGTCGCCCTCTGTTGTAATGTCTTCTCACGGGCACTTGACAGAATAGTGTCCACAGACATTTGGCTGTTGTCGATGCGCGCAAGAATGGATGCCAGTGACTGTCTCTGGATGTCATACAACGGACAGTCGCACAGGATGTGGTGTAGCGTCTCTTCGCAATGACAGGCATCGCAGAGAGCATGTCGGCCATTCCTATGACAAAGGAATAAGATTTTGTAAATGCCACTCTTAGCCATAAGCGATGAAGAAGGGTGGCTTTGCTTTGGTCGAGCCCAGTGTGCTGTGTTATGTCAGTCCGCAGTGAAGAACACCATATGGTCAAAATTTTTGGGACCCTCTACTACGTCATCTCTCATAATCATACCGTGCTTTCCGGACGTAAAACCTCAGCTTTATATTAAAGGCAACCAACTTAAACTGACGTCAAGATGAGCAAACAAAATATTATCAACATGGCAACGTGGCTCTTGTGACATGACTTACATAGCCGCCTATGATTTCACATAATCTAGAAATTCTTGTACCTCTCAGTGTGTAGTAACCATTATTCTTTGTTTTTATTTTGCAGTATCCATACAAGGGCGTAAGGAAGCGCTGGGAGGAGCGACGTCGCAAAAGTTTATAGGATTCATGCTTGTAGTGGAATCCCAGGATCAAAATAGAATCACGCAAGACGTGGGAAGTTTTCAGGTAAGTAGTAGTAAGCATTCTTACCTTTACAATAACACCTCAGTGTCACACTGGATCGGGATAGATAGATAGATAGATAGATAGATAGATAGATAGATAGATAGATAGATAGATAGATAGATAGATAGATAGATAGATAGATAGATAGATAGATAGATAGATAGATAGATAGATAGATAGATAGATAGATAGATAGATAGATAGATAGATAGATAGATAGATAGATAGATAGATAGATAGATAGATAGATAGATAGATAGATAGATATATAGATAGATAGATAGATAGATAGATAGATAGATAGATAGATAGATAGATAGATAGTAGATAGATAGATAGATAGATAGATAGATAGATAGATAGATAGATAGATAGATAGATAGATAGATAGATAGATAGATAGATAGATAGATAGATAGATAGATAGATAGATAGATAGATAGATAGATAGATAGATAGATAGATAGATAGATAGATAGATAGATAGATAGATGATGATGGATGGATGGATGGATGGAGGATGGATGGATGGATGGATGGATGGATGATGGATGATGATCGCGACAACAACGGGATAAGTTTGCCACGCAGCGAATTCAGTTATCAAGCTTGGTACAATATGTGCGTACACATAGCATTACATGGTTAGCCTGTCACCATTAACTGTACAAATGATCAGGCCCCTGGGGCTGCTATAAGTCGAGCCTGCACCTTCTGTGTGTCTGCCTGGTACACGCTTTTCATGTTACCAGATGATGAAGCGAATAATGAGATGATGACGTTCTAGATGATGATGCTTGAATTAACCTAAATGTAACGCTAAATGATTATAATGCTGGTGCTCAACATGCATCTGAGCTTTACCTCTGTTCGTACTGGCAGTTGGTAAAGCATAGGGTGCGTTGTTCGAAGGTCACAGGTATATGGTCCCTGCTCTCGGAAAGTTTCCTTTTTGTGCACTTTTATTCCTTCACATTTATACTACAAGTACTTCCAATAACAACCCCTAAATTTTCTTTGGCCTCATTGTCTGTTATTTTTCATTATTATTTTGTCTAACAAAGAACGCAAGCCCTTAAACGTACACTTTTTTTTCCTGCAGCAAACTTAGTGCAATTTTCGCCGAGTGCACTTACAACCTTCGAATGTCACTCCGGCGGCGCGCTGCGAAATTACCCCACCAGAGATTTCTGTTATTTATTACGCATGAAAAATGCACAGTTCACAAGCTCAGCGCAACTGTGTTGACTCTTCGGAATTATGTCATTTGCGGTGTGGCTGACTTGATGCTCACAAACGAAAACTTTAAAAACAAAGAAAAAAATGGGAGACCCTTAATCTTCGCCCCTAAGAATTGAATGCCATAGCGATGTTCTGTAACCAAAGTGCGTGCTTCAAACACTTAGCATGGGAAATCTTTTCGAACTTGTTATGCACCCACTACGTGGCCTTAATGGTGCAGTAGCGGTTGTGCTTTTTGAAGCGGGTGACTGGCTTTAAACTATGCAGTCAGTCTCATGTTCTGAAGCCCGATTCAATTTACGCTTGTAGCACGCATTATTAGGGTAATATTTCATGTATTATGAAGCATGTATACAGGGTGCGTGAGTTTTTAAAGCATGAAAGTTACTTTCAATGCATCTTCAAGCATAGGAAGTTATTTTTACGGTATTCACAAGCAGGCGCATGGTTCCAAGTGCAAAACCTTTTTCGCTGATTACACATTGGAAGACTTCCGGCGAGATTCTTCCTAGAGGAGTGTGGTTCTTATATGTTATGGGGATCTCACTGTGTCATCTGTTACAAACCAGAAACGATTTACCACGTTTTCATACACTGTTGAGAAGGAGTATGCTTGTGGGATGTATTACAGAGGACAATTAAAAAAAGATTTATTGTTACCTCATGAATCGTGTATTTACCAGTAGAGAATGATGATGGATTACCCTTTAATTTAATCATGATGACTGCCAAGCACATTATATGGCTCTCTTTAATGGCTGGATTTCATCATGACCCTGACAGGAAACCAGCAAGGCAGTATTTTAAAGAAAATATATCAAGGTTTATTGGGGTAGTAAGAACAGGTGAACGTGTTTCTTTGTGGTTAGAAAGGGTAGAATCATTGCTGACTATAAAGAAATTTTAAGGCGTAATGCGCATTGACAGCGCTTGGCGGCCATAGCCATTGTTCTGTCAGATTTGTTGTGTATTGTATTATATTTATATTGCCCCCCCCCCCCGAGTGTGACGTTCAAAAATTGATAAAGAAAAGAATGAGTAGCTGTGTGGCAGAACACCCGCTTACCACGCAAACGACCTGAGATCGATCCTCACTCACAACCGGAATTTTTTAATAATAATTTTAATTGCATCTTTATTGTTTTTCCGGTCAAGTAAATATGGTAATTTTTTGCAAACAACCAATGACGCCGACGCCGATACCGGAATTTCTGCGCAATGAGCTCTTTAACGCTATCGCGTTAATAATGTATACGTCTCCGCCGACTCCCGTGTGTGAAGAGCGTTAAGACTGCATACCAAGGAAACAAAAAACGAAAATCACAGCATATTCACGGAGTGAATGATGATGAGTTGGGCGAAGCATTCGTTCGTCCGTTCGTCAACTATACGGAATCGTAAACAATACGAAAACCACAAACGCCATCTAGCGATATGATTTTCAAGGACATATACACACAATGCCATCTAGTGTATGATAAGGTACACGCTACTGGGTACGCAGGAGGGACGAGGGATTGCCCCAGACCATACCAAACTTCGCCCCTAAAAAATGTTCTTTCGCAATGCCTAGGAATTGTGTCAGTACACGTTTAGGCTGCCTCGTATGACAGGAACATTAGTCCACCCTTCCACGCACTTGCTTACGGATTCCCTCTCCTACAGTTTTCACGGCTGTATACGGTTGTTTGTTACGCGTGTATGTTGTATGAATATTTGCACGAGAGCTGTGACGTTAGGAGGCGCCGCTGTGATTGACCCTGTGTGCCTTTGTTTTCTTTCTTCTTTCCCTTCTAGTTATTCGGCGATGCGTTGTCTAAATTTTCAGAAGACTGCCCGCACGCGGTGGTTCAGACTTCGCTCGTCCACAAGGCTGAGGTGAGCGTGCTCTGGGTCGCACCGCCGCCGGGCTCCGGATGTGTTCTGTTCAAGTACGTATCACCCGGATGCACCGTTTGATTGACTGTTCGTTATAGCAGAACATTCCTTGTAGCAGCTGTTTGTTTTTCTATGTGATATATTCTGCCTATGTACGTGTACATGATCGGGGCCCAGGTGGTCGAAGCTTCCTGAGCCCTCCACTACTACGTCTCTCACAATCAAATGGTGGTTTTAGGGCGTTCAATCTCGGCAATTATTTTATGTACTCTGAATTCTGGAAGTGTTAGCAGGTACCAATCGGTGAATCTGGAACATTCGTTTTGCTAGCTGGCGTCATGAACTGCGTTATGTCTTCGAAGTGACGAGCTGACGGTCCTTCATTGTAGGAGGAATCGATCGACTGATATGTAGTGTTTAACGTCTGAAAATCACTATATGATTATCAGAAAGGCCGTATTGGAGGGCTCTAGGAATTTCGACCGCCTTGGGTTCTTTAACGTGCACCCAAATCTGAGCACACGGGCATAGAGCATTTTTTCCTCCATCGAAAACGCACCCACCACAGCTGATATTAGATTCCACGACTTGCGGATCAGCAGTTCAGTACCTTAGCCAATACACCACCGCGGCGGGGCTTCATTGTTGAAGGTTGAAGTAGTACTCTGAAACAACCTCCCGCTTGCGGCAGTTAATAGTAACGCGACTAGGCTTTTTTTTATTCTTCAAAGGGGTACATTATGCTTCTTGAAGTGGGTTAAAAGCACTTAAACTTGGTCGACTGCTGTATTATTCAAGATATCCTGTGGTAGACCAACACGAACAGTGCTCCTGTTGTGCCCTTACTTTCTTCTAGTCCTCGTTTCCAATGCGATGTTAAAATCAAGACGAAGTTTCCGGCTGTGCCACACTGTTTTGCCATACCTGGCAGTGATTTTCTAGACAAACAAGTATTATTTTTCATGAAAAACTGCTTCAAAGACCTGTTCTATCAGTTATCATTGTGGCTCGTGTACTAAACTGCCTATGACTTTTAACATTGTTTTGCAATAGCCATTTTATGTAAACATCAATTCCTCTTTTAACTGATCTAAACAATAGTTGCTTGAAAGGCCTATTGCTTTTATCTGTGCATTTCGTGAATTAACAGGCCATGTTTCTGAAGTGTTTTTTTTTTTTTGTGCCTTCCCGAGTTGTCTCTTACAAGTTTTGTTTTGCCGGAGCTATCGCTAATGGGGCCTGTTTTTTTTTTTTTTCGTTGCAGCCACATTTGTAGTTCTTTCTCAGCGGCTACTTACTGAAAGTTTTCTGCAATGGAGAACAGACACTAGGTTCTCTCTGCAGACGTTGTTCTTGTTAATTGTGGTTACCCGTATCAATTACATCGCGTGGTTCATAGTTTTTCAAAAGTAGTCTTTTGACATTATTCGAAGTTTTGCAGCAGCTAATTAAACTCACTTATACAGCAATGTCCCTCCGTGTCTTTTGTTACCAAGTTTTTTTTTTTATCCTTCTATGTCCCCAATTTATTACAAATGAATCTGTGTTGCATTTATTACTTCATTTCCATCACGCTGATTGCCGGACAAGTGCGATGTTCACTAACCAATTTATCATGACCGATATTGTTACCATGGTCTGTCTGCCTTGTAGAGGAGCTAATTAGAAATGTGTTTGTGTTTTCAGAGCTACAGTAGTGGAAAATCGGGACGCATGGTACATGGACGAAGGAGAATTGACTAAGGAGCTATGCCAAGAAGGTAAGGTCTGGTTGTGGTTCTCTGAAAAAGAACACTTGCCGTCAGAGCTGACAGCATACTTCAACGTAATTTGTTTCACGACAGAAACTGAAGACAATCGCAATACGCGTTAAGCTAGGCTAATTCATGATAGACTGCATTAGATTAAGCTATAGCCTAAATTGGTCATGTGTGTGAATGATAACCGTCATCACTGCCCAGGATAGAGCTGCTTCCATCTCGGAAGCGGAAAAATGTGTTTCCGTTCTATATTGGCGCATGGTATGGATGCAAGCGCAGTTTTTATCAAGAGTACTGGAAGATACTCTAAACGTGATGCAATTACTTATTGGCACAGACGAAATTGCATGTACAGACGGGCCCAATGTTAAAAGGAACAGGTATCTGCAACCCGTGTTTGGGTTTCACACTCGCAAAAAACATAGTGGCTTAGATTCGCATAACACTGCTAGTGGTTGACAGTATGACTAATTTTGACACACTAGTGAAGTGGATGTTTCCGTATCCGCTTGGAGCTAGTTGACCAGCAATATGAAAGGTACTCATCTGTGTGTTACCATTCACTGCGGAGCGTACCATAAAAAAACTCACTACTCCATCAGTTTGTTCCGCATACGTAAAACGACACTCTGAATTCATAGAGATAGGTGCTCACCACTAAAAAACATTATTCGTCGTCTTCCTCATAATAGTTTATTCACGTAGATATTTACCTTAGTATTCTGAGGATTCGTCCTTGAATTATTTCTTGTGATTATTGACCACTCGTTCGAGGCATTTTCCTGATACTCTGATGCTGCTCTTCACAGCGCGGGGGACAGTTCTTCGGGTTACTTGTGGTGATCGATCCTCACAGCTTAAGAAGGATACTTCGAATCATTGAACTTGTGCCTTTTAGCAAGGACAGCGAAACAAACACAAAAGTCACGTAAATAGAACAGGCGCTATAGTTCTGTTTACGTCTGTCTTAGGTGTTTGCGTTTGTTTTGCTGCGCTTGCTCAAATGCACACGTTCCGCACTCACCAACTAGCCCGAATTTCTGCGATGAATAATCTGAATCTTCACAGTCAACACAGCCAGCGCATCCCTTCTAAAATTGCTCTGAAGCAATGTCGCTCAAAGCTTAGAAACATACTCAAATTCAGCAGAGCCCCGCCGCGGTGGTCTAGTGGCTAAGGTACTCGGCTGCTGACCCGCAGGTCACGGGATCGAATCCCGGCTGCGGCGGCTGCATTTCCGATGGAGGCGGAAATTTTGTAGGCCCGTGTGCTCAGATTTGGGTGCACGTTAAAGAACCCCAGGTGGTCTAAATTTCCGGAGCCCTCCACTACGGCGTCTCTCATAATCATATAGTGGTTTTGGGACGTTAAACCCCACATATCAATCAATCATCAATCAAATTCAGCAGAGATCGAATGTCACGGCTTCTTTACCTAAAGCTTATCACAGCTGATGCGACGCTATCATACATGAAATTACCATGCAATAAGAAGAAAAGGCGATATCAACGTACCCCACGACAGTGGACGCTATAGGTAATCGTGTATCCATTCAAATGATCGAGAATGTTTCGCGCGACCTGAGCCTGTAGCGGGAAGACGAACGGGCCGAGTGAAACGGGACCCTTGTGTGTTGCGCGGGGCCTCTGCGCAGAGCAGCAGAACGACGACGAGCAACCAGAAGTGCTTGACGAATGTTGCGCCTGCGACGAAGCCAAGTACGAGATGACCTTCGAGGGACTCTGGTCGAGATACACGCACCCCAAGGGATTTCCGGATAGTGAGTACGCGCCACGCATGTATAGCGATGATAGTAGCAATGGCACAGTGATTGTATAGGAAGCTAAGCAATGATTGTAGTATTATTCATACTGCCAGTATTTGTAGGTGTGGTGGTGGCTTAACTTGTAGTGCAGAAACAGCATTTTTATTATACATACAGTTTTTAAAAAATGCCGGAAGGTCTTCTGTTTAAAGTTAGCCGTTTGTTCAATATTATTTCATTTTCCAAGTAGTATCTTCAGCGGTGATAACATTTATTTATTTATTTATGTATTTATTTATTTATTTATTTATTTATTTCGTTTTTTCTTCACCCCCAGCGCCTATAGGCATTACAGAGGGAGAAGGTATACAAAAAAGTAGATTTGCATTTTCCGCGAAACAATTATCAAAGTCGCCAATTAGTCGCGATCAGCCTGTAACATATATCAATGAAGAAAAATGTGTTAAAATTAAACATGAAAAACGAAACAAGAACACGGTCATTCTAACACTGAAAAAAAAAAAACGTCACTTGACATATTAGAGGCAATGTCTGAAGAGAACTGGTTCCATTCTCGGATACGATTTTAAAGGAAAATTCATGTTGAAATATATGCATTACAGTGGAATAATGTATACAAAAAAGTGGACTTTAATATAAGATGCATTTACTGCGAAACATTATTCAAAGTCAGCTAATTAGTCGCAATCAGCCTATAACATAGATCAATGAAAACAATATTTGGAAATCAAACATAAAAAACGAAACAACAACATGGTCTTTCTAACACTAAAGAAAATTACTTGACATAAGAGAGGCAACTGTCTGAAGGCAACTGGTTCCAGTCTAGGATACGATTTTAGGGGAAAATGCATGTTGAAATACATCGCTCTCGCACGCAGTAGGTAGCACTACCCAGACAAGTCAATGTACAAAGCACGCGCGTTTGCCTTTCAAAGAGACTTAAAGGGGTTCAGTGGTGAAGAGGTAAAGCGCAGGTATTTTAAACCGTTTCTGCATTTTTCGCTTTGATTCAGTGCTGACTCAATTTCATCGTCATCTTACGTGAACGTGCAGTTCTTCGTGCGAGTGTTGGCGGCAGCTTGTGAAACAGTTCTACAAGTGCCCTCGGCTTAAATGTTCTCATTGAATTCACAAATAATGCATTTTGACAAGCCAACTGCCCGTCGACCCCCTTTTACTTGTGGAAGTGAGAGCATCCGAGACCAACTGTGACGTAAAAAGGTCTATATGAACTTACCCGATAATGATCCTCTTCTTATTGATGTATTTTTATTTATACAGTGTCTCTCACATCCTTCTTCAGGCAAATTTAACCATTTAGCATTATGGTACATTTTGATTTTGAAGGAAGAGACACAATACCAGTGACAATTAGGTCCGCCCTGACAAACTAGAACCGACGCTTTTTGTGCAAATCGTACGTTCCCCCTTTGTGTCCTCTTGCTGCACCCGAAACTACGTGCCAGCTCTCACCATTCACGACACTCTGCACACCTAAACAATTTTCCTCGCTTTCATTTCCGTGTATTCTCATTACTTTACTTCCTCGTTTTCATCGCCGAGTCGCTTTGTTTATTCAGATGCCTGTTTTACCAAGCATAGTACAACCTTATCAAATCAACGCATTGCAGAAGCATCGTACTGCCGCGTTCTTATTGAACCACGTTTCATTCGCTTGCGCACAGACGCCTAAACCTATGCGCCTTCTTCTTGCTGCTGTCAAATTCCCTCGGCCCCGTAGTGTTCAACAGCAGCCCGGTTTAATTGCGGACGGCTCGACCCGACGACCACCGTTCACCCAACCATTCCTGGCCCAGTGTAGTCCGCACGTGGATAGTCTAATATACGGACGCCCGAGGCAGGTCACAACTGCAACTTCGTGGAAGCGCTGCCCGATGTTCTGAGTTATCTGTCTGGTTAGTAACGGGAGCAGTTCGATGCGAAACGGGTTCGCAGGGAAACACGGCCCGCTATCCCGTCGAGATGCTTTCGGCAGCGTTATGCACAATTTCGAAAAGTGCCTCCCCCACTTCCCTTATGCTTCTTTTCTAGGTAGCATATAGGGATGTGCGAGAAGGAAGCGTAAAAGGCAAGGGTTCGAGGAGGGGCAGTGGGAATTGAAAATGCGCCAGGGAGCTCTCACAGTTTCGAAACATGCCTTCTCTCCACATTTCCCCAACTCTTGCACCTTTTCGAGGTGTGAGAAGGTACTGTCCTTGGGAAGGATTAGAGGAGGAAATCGGAGGAGAAGGATGCGAGAAGAGGGAATGGTGTTCGAAAAACCATCCGTCACGCCCTGTTTAATGAGCTGCGCGAGAGACCAGCGGATTCGCGAATGTCGTTTGGGACTGTGGCGTTGATGTGTGTCTTTGTACGTGTGGCATTCGCCCTGTCTTCTCACAGCCACGTGCGCGTCATTAATAACGAAGCCGCCACCTCGCCAGCCGGGTTGGCGGTCGGGAAAAGCTGCACGTATAGGCAGTGGCTTCTGTGTCTGCGGCGTGTTGTATGTCTTTCTCTCTCTCTCTCCCTACCCGCACTGATAGACGAGTGGCTGACCCATTTTTCGGACATAATCGGTGCCTCCCACGCGGCCGACTTCAAGATGTGGGAGTACGAGGGATTCGCATCGGAAGGAGTCAAGAGCGTCGCCGAGCACGGCGCCACCAAGAAGCTCGAGTCTGAGCTCAAGGCTGAGGTGAGCTGCCCGAGCGACAGGAGACGCTCGGTTGACTCTAGTGACATTTGTTTCATTTATTTCATTTATTGCATCCTTAAAGGCCCGAGGGCATTACATAAGAGGGGGGGGGCAAAAAAATACGCTGTGAGTGTGTATAATTCAAGTTGAACAAATTATTATAAACAGTATAGTTCTAATATGGTAGTTTGGTCAAAAATGACAACAAAAATGAATCAAATAACACACAAAAGAAACGCTTTGGCTGGGAATTAGAGTACAAACAACTAGGCACAAGCAAATTATACATACAGTACGTTGGTAGAGTATATTTACAGCCACGGGTTAATGGGTGGAATCAAAGTGGGATTCCAATTTTGTTGCTCGGTAAGGTGAGAAAGGCGGTCTTGTTGGTAAGACACAACACCGGATTCACGTGGCCCAAAGCAAATCTCTCGGCTTTGTTCCTTGCGTTCAAGTGCATTCCGTCCCTATCAGGAGGAGGAGGTAAGTTTATTTACAGAAAGGCAGAGAGGTCGGCCTGAGCAATAGCTTGCTCTAGCCTGCTACTCTACACTGGGGGAATCATATTTGTTGATAGCTTTTTCTTCGTTATTTCTTTCTTTAGATATACTCTGATTTGCCCAAGGGTTCGGAAGCAGCGGGGCTACAGCATGAAAAAAAAAAATGAGGCCACTCAATTACATTAAGAACGAAAAAGAATTAGCATAAAGCTTTGTTCTAGTCCGGTATTCTTGAATTTGAAAGTCATGATCCAATCTTCTGGGCAGATACTGTAATGCTTCATTGTAAGTGTCTTTGTTCAAGCCAGTGTTTTTGTGGTATACTTTAACAACAAATTTCAAGCGCAAATTATTTCTGCAGGACACGCTGTATAGTAAGCAAATCTGAAATAATTTTTTACCATTTGCGGTGCAGCCTCTACAATTATGTCCGACAGTGAGAGATCTCTCTCGCCCTTTCTCTCTATTTTCTTATTTTTAGGCATTTCCTCTCCATTGAAGAGCTTCAACTCCTGCCACAGCTTCACTTTTCCGATTATCAACATCATTCGTTTATAAGACAAATTTTAATACAGTGGAATCATTCGCGTTTGTCGCAAGCGTTTCAAGTACCGCAATCGTTCAACCAATGTAAACTTTACAGGGTACCATTTTTATTTGCATGAAATGAGTGGGAGCTGGAAGCCATCTTTTTTTTGTTCTCTGTCGATCGTACTTGTCTGCACACCCCCGAAAGCTTTCTGCACCTAGCGTGAATTTGCATCACCTCGTGGATCAGACGTATAGCAACCCTTTTGCACTTCCTGTGCCGCCGAAAAAGCACTGTTGACTAGCTAGGGGATGGCACACCTGGCCCACGCCCACCTCCCCACCCCGAAAGTGTTTTTTTTTATCACTGTGGCATACAGAGCGAAAATGACCATATCAACCTTCCCCCTCTAGAATCGAGAAGCCCACCTGCCCCCAAGTAGAAGGAGGAGGAAGAGGAATAAATGAGTAAGGACAGGGAGGTTAGCCACCCCCAAGGCTGACCAAGCGACGGCATGAAGTGAGGACGTCCTCGTGTGACACCTCGTTATATAAAGTCGCAGCGACGTTGCTATAATGTATTGATGACGTCACACGCGAACTCGAAAAACGCGCAGGAAGAATATGACCTTGGCCACGCCCTCTTGAAGTTCCCAGGATGCGACAGATTTTGGCGGGGTCTGTCAGCGCGTACAAAGTTTCTACTCGGTATAGACGAAATATAGTGTCACCAGAGGGAAGCATAGATTCAACGTATGAGTATTCAGGTTATTTCATGGTGCAGATAACGCCAAAGTGCACAAGGTGGCAGAATAAGATCCGTGGCTTCAAGGGCGGGGCCTTTTGCCACAACATTTTAAAACGACAGTTTGACTACCCTAATGATAGACCTGTTATGGTGAAATCGACTGACATTAGAGTTCTGAAGTGCAGTTTATTAATCTTAACCGGTACATTGTTCCACTCTACTGTCTAGTGAATAAAACACAAAGCGTCTTTCGCGAGCTAGTCTCTTAATGATATTCTCTTCACGACGTCCACACCACGCAGTCGGGCAAGATCAGGACCATCGTGAAGGCCCGTGGTCTATGGTACCCGAACGTGAACGGCAAGACGTTCGCCGTGTTTCGCGTGGACAAGAAGCACCACGTGATGTCCGTGCTGTCCATGCTGGGCCCGAGCCCGGACTGGATCGTGGGCGTCAGCTCGCTCGAGCTATGCCTCAAGAACTGCTCCTGGATTACCGAGAAGACCATGAACCTCTACCCGTGGGACGCAGGGACCAGCGAGGGCGTCACATACGTCATTGTGAGTATGCGGACACAGCTTCTCCAATGTTCGCGTGCCTCCATTACTGTATTCGTGACCAAACGCCGAAAGTCACTTTTTATTTCGGCGTTGTTTTGTGACGTAGCGAGACCATACCGACATGCTCACTTCCAGAGCCACATCCATGAGATGCGTCACACATGACTAGATCTGGTGGTTACTTTGCATTTTCGTGATTGCTCACTTCGGTGTAGTTAGCAGCATCATATTTATACGAGACACACAGGTCATGGGCACCAGCGAGGGTGTGACGTACGCCATTGTGAGTAAATGGGCACGGCCTCTTTATCGTTGCATACATCGTTACCTTATTGGTAGCCGCAAAACAGCCCGTAAAACGAATACACAGTAACAAAACGCAGGTCTAAGCACTGAGACTTGATCGTGTCTTCGTTTCAGGTGCTGTTTTGCAGTAACGAAAACATACCATTGCCAGACCGATTACTGTGAGATATGTTACATTTCACTGGATCTGAATCTTTAACGCCCAAGAATTTCCGCTTAGTTTCGTATAGCTAGCGACGTCATAGTTATACAAGATGAACACGTCATAAGGACCAGTGAGGGCATTGCGTACAGAATTGCGAGTATATACGGGGTTGTCTCTCCATTGTTGTATATGCAGGTTACCGTGAAATACGTTGCACTTTGTTATATTCGGTGGTTGCTAACCTCACTTGGGATTGCTTAGTTGTATATAGGTTAGCAATATCATAGCTACGCGATACAAATAGGTCACATAAACCAGCGCGGGCTTCGCGTGTGTGCACAAGGGCGGCCTCTTCATCGTCCGTATAACTCTATTAACGCGAGACGCCCTATTCTTGAGTAGATCTGGAGGTTTCTATGCCGACTTGTGATGCCTTAGTTCCATTTGCTAAGCGTTGTCGAAAACAGGGACGATGTCCCATGTGTCAAAGTAGATGTGCAAGTATACAGCGTCTTTATGCAGTACAACGCAGTGTCTCAAGTATAGCACGAAATCCTGTAGTGGGCGTTAGAACTTGCATACCTCATTTCCAGAAAACTATTGCGGCCTTAAGCCTACTCAGTGGTGGCTGCACTCCTTTTTGTTTGGCTGGCATATTTATCAGCTGTGCAAACTATTCTTGCGGAGCACCGGACCAAAGTGGGCACCACGCATGTCGTTGTGAGTGTACGGTAAAGCCACCCTTCTGATGGCGCCTTCCAGGGTCAGCGCGAAGCCACATCGCCCCAGCAGCGGATCCAGAAGATCACGTCAAGCCACCCGCACCACCCGGACTCGCCTTTCTACGACCCCACAGGGGCCCCCATGAAGCCTGTGGCCCGCCTGACGGTCACGAGGCAACGCATATACGAGAAGTCCTGCGACGAGGACGTTGAGCCCAACACGCCAGTGCCGCTGGAGACGCCCTCTCCCGTCGACTCGAGGCGTGAGTGTCTGCCCTGCACCGTATTTTACACTTTAGTTTGGGTATAAATGATGTTTTAAAGATGGTAAATGGAAAGAAAGTGCCCTGGATTGGAGAACAAACAGCAGTGGCTGGTACCCTAGTAGATAATAATTGAAAAATTACAGCCAGCACTTCTCTGCGATTATTGTCAAAACAGCGTATCATGATACCCCTTTTCGCCAGGCTGTTGCCGTTCTTATGTATCACTAGTTCTTATGATGTCTTGCTAACGCTCACGTCGGGCGGTGGCCTTTTCTACTGGAGTACGAGCTATCTTGGCCATTCTAGAATCATAGTACTGAACTCCCGAAGAAGCGACACCCTCATTTACACTCTGCCGAGCCCCTTAATGACCTGCTTCTTTAAAACGCTGGGTTCCGACGTGCCTTTTGCCGAGGCTCACCTTCACATCCCGTAGCGCACCACTATTGGGTTAATCCATCCCACCGAGCCCCTCTACTCCTTCGGCAATGCACCATCACGCCTTTCCTGCCAGGCCTCTACCGGCACTGTGCAGCCCTCCCTCTGCTTACCGAGCTTCACTGTCCCCACACCACCAGTGCGTTACCCCACAGCCAGCGAAGGGTTGATTAAGAACAACTGCACTGTTATAAGAACAACTTTGTAGACTACATTATCAGGAGGACACATGATGGTCAGTTAGAACATCGCAATGAATACCACTAGATGGGAAAAAAGATAATGAGAGAGAAGGAAAGGCATGGGGCTTAACCAGTCCAGGACATTGAGTTCGCTACCCTACAGGGGAGAACGGCAAGTGGGAAATTGAAAGAAGGAGAGGGAAAAGGGCAAACGAAGACAGCACTTAACACAGCACACATATTTATCTTTTTACTTTTCTTTTCTGACTCTCCCGTTCCCCTTAAGCCACTGCGCCGTGGTCTCTACAGGGCTGCAGAAATTTGACAGTTTTTTTTTTCTTTTGCTTCTAACCTCCACCAACACATTCACAGTCACGCTATCTAAGTCGCAGTCCATCAGTCTGGAGTGGAAAGAGCGGACGGGCCAAGCGCATGGTGGAGCGGAGGCAGAAAAAGAAACTGAAATCAGCTTGCACGAGAAACTGGAGATCTCTGGGAGAGGCAGTTGCCCTGCTTTGGGCGTTGAACGAGCTGATGATAATGATGATGATAATTACATGGCAATGCTTCGAGGCTAATCAAAAAAATTTTGAAAAATGCACTGATTCAAAAGCTTGGATGTTAGTTACCCGTTATTTGGTTTCTTCTCCTCCACATCAAGGAATAAATGGGGAGCACAAGGAAGAGAAAACGTGAGTGAGATGGCTCCAAAACGGGTTGCGGCATAACCACAGTCTGGTGCTTTCCACGGAATACATCCTCCCTTTTGACTCATCTGATCAACCACGGTGGCCTCTTGTTGTCGCCTCCCCTCCGCCGACCCCACACTCCCACTTTTGCCCTCTCCTCTTTATTTGTTTAGATTCGAAGAGAGTGTATGAATCATATACGCTCAAGCGCTAAGAAAATCACTTGCAGCTTTGAAAGAGACGACGCCACTTGTCGAGAAGCCGCTCCAGCACCAACACCCAGTTTTCAAATTTCTCATCGCAAACTTCCATATTTCCATTCCAGCCTCTTATTAAGGCGAGAAGGCTTTTAATATGCCCTTCCTCGCGGCATCCTGACCCCCCCGTCTGTCTGTGCCCTGGAACGGTGTCGGCTGTGTACTCTCCTCCTTCCACTCACTCAGCAAAGGACGTGATGGCACAGCGGCGCATAGCAACAGTTGCGTCGTCTCAAGCTGCGGCCTATCGCCCTTACACTCTCTCAGCAGTCACGTGGTTGCTTAGAGAGAGCAAAAAAAAAACAAGAAGAAAATGAAAGAGAACTTCTACATCTTAAGACAGATGCTCGGGCTAGTTGGTGATTGGGAATCAACATATTTGCACAGCGCAAGACTACGAGTAGTTACGACGTAACTACTCGTAGTCTCTTTCGTAACTACTCGCAGCGCTCTTCTGTCCTTGTCTCTTCTTCTGTAGTTACGTCGCTAACTACTCGTAGTCTTGCGCTGTGCAAATATGTTGATTCTACATCTTCCCACAGGGGGAACGTCGTGTAAATGTCTCAGCAGAAAAGAGGGGGAGGGGTATCGCGTGAACGTCGCGTAAATTACGTATGGTTTGGGAATCGTTAATTGTTATTTCGTTTTTATTATTCTTATTTATTCAATGAAGAAGTGTTGCCTTCAACGAGTGGTGAGATGCTGATGTGTGATCCAGTGCCTACATATATCGAGTGGCCAGAGATGTTTGTGCAGCTCGAGAAGTTCGTTTTAACTAGTATATGCTGCCTGCGTCAGCCTTTCGAGGTGAGAGAGGGGAGAGGAGGGGCAAACAGTGGGCACGAGACGCGAGCATGCGCAGTGGGAGTGTGCACATCGCCGCCGACGCGCGAAGCGTGAGGTAGCGCGACTAAGAAATGCTCCGCATTTGGGAATTAAAAAATAAAAAAGAATAACATTGCCTAGTCGAGTGGCCACAGGCTTCCGGAACTCGGTTTAAACTTTACAGTGTCCTTAAAATTTTGGAGCCAGGTAGGCAGTGCTCCAAGCAATGCAGACAGATCCAATGAGTTTCCCGCTTGATGAGCTGTCATACCACGCTTCTAAGGTGTCTGCTCATTTAATAGGGTGGTTATCCCATTTCTTAAGGTTCACAGGACAGAGGGGCATTATCGAATTCAGTCTGGGAACGAGCGATTGGCGTAAAATAATCTGTGGCGCTCTACATTTTGGTAGTAATAGCCGCAATAACCAAGGATAATGAAGCCAGGTGTACTGTTATATAAGTTAATTAGCTCTTTCTTATTCATATATCAAAAAATAAGTGACAGGCAAATTAAAGCGTACGAAATGGTGCATTTCCTGCTGCAGAGAGACACAGTCAGAACCACAGACCTAGCAGTTTTGTTACAGTGACAATTTTCTTCGTTAATTATTTAACTGATATAGCTCTGCGATGCGCAATTGGCACCGTTCCCGCCATTCATTTCTAATCACATATATGAGGTAATAAGAGGCTGCGGTGTCCGCCTGTTGTTTATGCAGTGCAGCTGTTGCAGTAAAAGTATGTACCACGTACCGTCTTAGACGTGACTTTTCCCTTTCGGCGGTTCAAGTAGTAAGGCTGATTCAATTTCTAATTCTTGCAGACTGATGTTCCCTCATTACCTAGCCATGAAGACACCAACATTACCACTGCCTGCTGGGTTTTACTTGTATTTTTGTAGACATAGACGGAATATATTGAATTTATTATAAAAAACAGTGTGTATTCGAGCCTAACTGTTTGAATACCTATTTCACTGAAAATAAGTTTTAAAATTTAGTGTCGCAAAATACACTTCAGTTTGTGATGTCAAAATGGCATGTCGTTTCTAATATTTAGTTAAATAAGTTCTAGTTTAGTTATTTTTTGCAAATACTGACTATAGGTGTCCAAAATCACAAAGTGGAAGATAAAAGGTCAAGATAACATTAAAACGCCTCCAAGCTTGTGATGGTAGATTAACAAGCTGTGGTTAAGGCATGGTTCAATATTACTGCGAGCGATAACGCATTCAATCCTTTCAGCCGACCAAACCCAGTCGCTGTGAAAAAAAACAAGGTAGGCGTGTCAAATTAAACAACAAAAGAATAGAACTGCCTGGCACCTATCAGCACTGCTAGTATAATCAACCCGTTCTTTTCAACAGGAGCGAAAGAAAATTTTTCTGGCTTTATTGAATAGAGTGCTGCAGTTTGAATGTTTCTTGAAGAGAATCCATTCCAGTAACGCGAAGCGTTCAACCAGGTATTCTAACCGATGTATAATGTCCTCCGTACAAAAGAGAAAGAAAACTTCCTAAAAGCTAACACTTGACTCAATATAAGTTTCCTCGTAGTGTAAGTCTCAGAGACACACTGCCTGGAACACTTTAGCTTCATTTTTGGATATAGTTGTTCCGTTTAGCAGTGTGAACGCGGCGCAAGACATCAAAAAATGTTTCAGTATAAATGTTCTTTTAGATACGCCTTCACTATTGAAGATAGTATTCGATCTGAAAACAAAATAACACGTAGTCCTAACAACTAGAAAAAAACGAGACTATCGAGCTGGAGACTTGAGGGGTTAAAGAAAAAAACAAGAGAATGCGTTGTCAACGCTAGCCCTATTATGAACCGTTGTAAAAGTGATCACCGCATCAATCATATCGATCCATTTCGGTGGGCTGTGTCCTAATATAGCGGCAGAAAGCATTATCAGTGTTCTTTGTATTTTGATAATGACGTTCTTCTTTTTGTGCTCTTTCAAGCAACGTTGGAAAATATATCCGGTAAGGAAGAAGCAGCGAATGTATGGTCATTCTATTTTTAGTGCTATGCATTTCTGTTTACCATGCTGTGCTGCATGTCTGTGTTTTTTCCCTGCCTCTTGCTTCTTAAAGTTCATGCAAACTTTGGCTACCAACTGCGCAATCTGGAGAGCTTGGCCGATAAAGCTCATATTGGGCATGACGAACCACCACGCTTCCGATTGGGCCGTCGGGAACCTGTCAGCGTTTTGTTGGAAGGAACTACTTGCCGCGAGCATTGGAAGGCTTGCGAAGGCTATCGAGAAGTTTTGCGAATGGAAAGACACGTGACATAAACCAATATGTGTCGCTCGGGGTTTTCTGTACTTTGTATTTATTTTTGAGGAGGGGAAGGTGGAGGTTAAAATATAGAAGGGGAGGTACAATTCTTCGACCACGGGAAAAGTGTGGATACTAGAATTTTTTGAAAATCAAAACTACTGACCGTTGTTTGTCAATACGAGCATCTTTTGAACTCATAGTAAATATATTAGCATGTCAAGTACACTGAATATGGCCCGCAATTAATGGAATATAGTAAGACAACGTTAATTTCCTCACGGATGGCATATACACGCCAAGCTTAAGATTCTGCGATTGTATGCGCTTCATTCTGTGGCCTAATTGATTCGTATTGTTCAACTCAGTCTCAGTGTTTACCATTAGCGAACGCCCAGAAATGGCGTTCACTGGTAAAGTCGCAAGACCACAAACTATTACGAAAAGAAACATAGCCGAAACGAGTGGACGACGCAGCAGGTCTTACTATCACATACTGAGAACTGGCTTTGGCATGTGAGTAAGCTGCATTCGAAAGCACTAACGAAATATCGTTCACGTTAACCCAGGCTAGCCATTAAACCCGCACCTTGTTCTTCTACGCATGCAAATTTTATGCAGTAGATCGAAACAAAACAACGATCGATAAATTGTCGCGAGAAACAATTGCTACGTATTCCAACTTAGTTATAAAAGTCCAAGGCAGCGAAGCGAAAGAGATATACTCTATCTTACTTCAATATTTATTAACATAGTCTGCTCGTAGGGCCAAAAGAAAAGGAAACATTGAAGCAATCTGAATTAGGCTTAGCCTATATACCACGTGTTCCTCGTTCACAGAAAGCTGACGTTCTCATTACAATATACAAGGCAGCTTGTCTCCAGGCTACCGCAACAAAGAGGGGATTATAGTGAGCGGGGCGGGCCAGAACACGGCTGTCGCCTCAGGTGGGACAAGTCCCCTTAATCCCCACATCCCTGTTAATCCCCTGGATGATTGCTTCCACTCAGGCGCCTGCAACCCCAAATCTGAATACGTTCAACGGAGTTGAACGCGTGCATTAATCAGTTTTTCTACTGTTCTTTATCCTCATCTAAGGTACACTGTGGCACATACCTGATCTATATGCCTCAAGGGCTGATTAATGCGCGCGCATAAATTTCGCGCTTAAGGCCAAGGAACATAGACACGATGTATTTGCGCTGTGTGAGAAAGCTTTCATCGCGAAGCTTCTGCAAGCACGTACGTGCACCTGCTGGCGTTAATGGATTAGCTTCGATGGTCCGGAAAATGGCAGCGTAAGTGGTGACCTATTTCTAATTTTCTTTCTCGCTTTCTCGCTCCGCACTTTAGAATTACTTTGTCGAACATGTTTTAATCTCATCGGAACTACACTTTATGAACGCGGTTATTATAAATTAGGGCTTCTCACGAAGCTTTTCCAACACTGTAGCCGCTCAACGAGGATTCTGTGATTCGCACCATACGACATCGCGTCGACTGCTTTTTTTCCTGTTGGGTATTTGTTTAGCGATGCTCCCGTGTGGCCTAACACACTGACGTGGTAGGCAACATGTGTCGCGCAAAATTCGCTTGTGCCTTGCTAAGCGTCTGATAGAGCATGCACTGTTCCTGTATTTGGAAAAAATAACATATTCGTTCAAGTGTTTCAATGAGCAGATGCGGACAAATCGCATTTGTTGTTGTTATTATTATTAATAATAGTATTAGGATAAATATTGTTATTGATGTTATTGTGGCTCTTGTTGCGGTTGTTTTCGTAATTCTTGTGTGATAGTAATGTCACAAGCGGCATGGCCAGCAATTCTTTAACCGGGGTGGGTAGAGGGTGGTAGTTCAACCACCTTTTTTGTATGTTCGGGCGTGTGTCAGAGTAAATACCTGTGTATATACAAATGCGAAATATGACAATGTCAGAGCAGGGGTTGAACGGCACTTATTCGCGTCAAGAACGTGTAATTATCAGAGCTGCCATCATAATTATCATTATCGTTTTATGTTCTGCGAGGAAGGACTTGGTTTGCGAACTGGAGAGTTTACTTTTCTGTTGATGATCATGACAATTGTGGTGGTGGTGGTGATAATGATTATGATGACAATGATGTAGTGTGGTCAAGCCGAGCCGTTTGCATTTGGCAAGCAAATCTAATACGCTCGGTTCCATCAACTGGCGCTAAACACATAACGGGCTTCACATATGCACACACGTGCACAGCAGCATTAAGGCGAGAGCCTTTAATGGCTCATGCTCGCGGCGTTCAACCATCCGTTCATCCGTGCCGTGGAACGGTGCCAGCTTCGGCCTCTTCCCATCTCACTCTATCAGGAATCCTGCGATTGCACAGCAGCGCATATCAACGGTTGCGCCGCAACAGTTGTGACCTCTCCTCCTCATACTCTCACAGCGATCACGTGATGGCACAGCGGTGCCTGCGGCAGTGCTCCTTCGTCGAATGGCCACATGCTTTCGCCGAACACACTTCGTAATTGACAGCGTTCTTCAAGTTTTAGTCCGTACGTAGCTTCGACTGTGCAAACAACCTTGCTGGTGAACTAAACCTTTTGCTCCGGGCACTTGAAAGGCGAAGTGAAACGTGACGATTATGACAATGAGCATCATTATCTTCGGCATTATTGCGGCATAACAACATAAAAAATATAGGACAGTGAAGCACGAACGACACAAAGGTGTATCCTGTGTGCTTGGCTAGAATGTTCTTCGCGCTGTTATGCCGTAATGTTCAAGAAGAAGTCAGCCCACTGAAAACCGTTGAGCATAGAATTTTCTATTAATACATCAGAGGGGAATGTGGTGCTAGTGTCTATGGGAGCCACAACGCTTTCCGGTTAAGCAGCATGGTATTTAGGGGTAATACGTGAGTTGGTCGAGCTTTCGTTCTTTCGGCTTTGCTGCTATGTTACCAGACGAGGTTCAGCAAACATTCCGCAGTTACACATCACCTTGACCTTTTTAGACTCGCCAATCAAGATAAGCTCACTGAGTTCCCAAGTATTCGTTCTTTTATCTAAAACGAGAGCCACAACGCCCTAATATACATGACCGCTAGTGGCTTTGGAAACCGCAAGCACGAACATAGGCAAATCTAAGTACTGCCCATTATTCCCACGGTGGCTGTACAAGTGAAGCGCCTGAGTTCCCTCCAGTAAACTTCGTGTGGAACTTAACGCCCTAGAGCACTGCGCGCGCTCTTTATTCTTTATTCTTTATTCAGGAATACCCTGCTTTGCCCAAAGGCGTGTAAGCGGGAGGGTTACAGCTTTGAAAAAAACAAGTCTTCGTTATGACAGCACACTTGGTCACAAGACACTTGATTCCACTCTTGTACAGTACGAACAAAAAAAGAATTAGCATAAAGGTTCGTTCTAGTCCGGTATTCTTGAATCTTATGGTCATGATCAGACCTTCTAGACAGATAATGCGGTGGTTTAAGGTAAGTGTCTTTATTGATGCCAGTCTTCTTATGGTAAATCTAAAACAACAATTCCAAACGCAGTTTTCTTCTGCGAGAGGAGAGCGCTTCCTATCCCAGCTCGTTTTTCGTTTCAGTACAGCTGTCACCTCGCTTATACCGACTGAGAACGAACCTTGCCGAACGTTGTCTACAAAAGCAGCTTGCTGGTGTGCACCCTGTTGGCAAGCCATTTTGTCAACTGGCAGACTGATTCTGTGTGTGTGTGAAGCGACTCTGATGTAAGCTGTATAAGCATGTCCTACTCAACCAAGTCACCAATGTAGTCCGTGTGTTTATTCTCTTGCGTCGTTATGGCGGTCGTGCAGCCGAGTGCGCCGTCACCGAGTGGTCCAGCTTCGGACCGTGCAGCGTGACGTGTGGACAGGGCACCAGGACGCGGACGCGCAACTTCATCATGCGTGACAAGGCGTTCATGTTCAACTGCAAGACTCAGCTGGTGGACCGGGAGGTCTGCGAAGTGGACTGTGCCGGGTGAGCAGAGAAGCGTGGCGCCGGTATCAGGGCACCACTTCGTTCCGCGAACGTCTACTAAACGTGTGAATGTCATGTCGCACCGTGTGTCCCAGCTAGCGATCAATAACGCTTTCGTTTGGGCTAGTTGTATACTGGGAGCATAATGCATGGCTGCCCAAAATGACAAGGACAAAGACTTACCGATATAGGGGTACTGAAACAAACTTTCGGGGCTGAGATAGCCTGCAGGATGAATTCTCGTGAACGTGTGTTTATAAAAAAATGTTTAACAATTTTGAGTACTCGGTACTCAACTCTGGGAGAGCAGTTAGCCGTCCCTCGCTGACGTGCGCATATCATCTAACAGATCTGGACAGCAAATGACAAATTTTAGCCGCAAAATACCGCAAACACAGACTAAAGAAGGACACCACAACAAGGACAGGTGGCCTGTTCATGTCGTTGTGTCTTTCTATACTCTGTGTTTGTGTTATTTCGCGGCTAAATTAGGTCATTAAGAAAGTACCAACTATAGGCCAACAAACAGTATTGAACAGCAAATACAGCTCGGAACGTGAGTTATACGAATATGAAAATTCGTGTGCCCGATTGAACGCTATATAACGCATCTCACAACATCGACATCATACGAAGTGACCTGAAGGTGACTCGTAAATGTCCTCCCCGTTCCCAATGACCACGATCAGCTAAATTATGACGTCATAGTTGCCGCTGCACTTCTAGCGTGCTTGCGTGAGAAATATACTATTCAAGAAAGTCTTTGCTACGAGGTAACGATGGTCACGACATCGCTGTGCACATCCCGCGTGCGAAAGAACGCGAGCAAGGGATGAGGGCAGCGCTAGAGTTTGAAAGTGACCATAACGTTTCGTATGCTGAGGGGACATTAGTGGCGCACGGTGGCGTGCCGTTCTCCAAGCTCTAGCCAACCGAAACTTCGACTGGTTGGTACTAAACATACTACTTAATGTTCTGTCACGCACTGAAGCAAGCGATGTACCACGTTGTAACCTATAGATCTTCAGGAACATAGTGCAGCAAAAAACCGCCCTTCCAAAATTTATGTGCCAGTAGCCATTTATTAATGCCTTAATGACTGTTGTGGAGAATTTCTTAGAGCAATAATACATTATTTTATTGTTGTTCACGCCAATATAGTAAAATTGCAGCAGTTATTTGCTTTGTAAACTTATTTTTTTATTTGCCGGTTGTACATTTTGGTGGGATGCAGACTTGCATAATCGTAGTAGATGTCAACGTCAGGTATTTTATGGGAAGAACAGAACAGCATGTAAATACAACGGTATATGCATTGCGCTCAATATAAAGATTACACAACGTGACTGCACGCCAGCACGCACAGGGTATCAGCTCTTCAGAATAGTATCGGTCACGAAGCAAGCTGTTCTAACAGGAATAAGTTGCTTAAAGCATACATTTTTTTTCGCATCAGCAATGTATTTCATTCATAAGCCACTTCTCAGGAGCTTTACACGGCAGCAACGCAATTATTCAAAAGGTGTCGTGTACAGAGCGCAGTGACGAATAGCGTTCTTGGCAACTTGGTGACATGATGTTCTCAAACTCTTACCACACTAATCACTAGCTCTCGCTGATCTTCTGTCAACACATTCCACAAGAGCGTATAGAATGTTGCTAGCTTCATCCATATAAGTCAGCTGCGACTAAACCGAGCAGTTGATATATACAAAGAATAAAAATTAGATTTCCATTGAACAATGAAGCATCCGCGCTAATAATCCATTTTATTTATTTATTTTTACTTGATGCAGCCCAATCTGGGCTGTCGCAGGAGTGGATTTTCTCTGCATCAGAAAACAAACAGGAAAGGCAATGCAATAAAAGTGAAAGACAAAGAACACAGAAAAGAAAAAGACAAACAAATAAAGATGAAGCTCCAAATAGACAAAGCGCTAATTTATTCATTCAAGAAATCTTTTGAAGGCAATGATCTAGAGGACCTAGACGATATCTTTAATTTTTCTATAGTGCGCAAAAAAGCTGAGTTTGTATAGGTTGGCACGTGGATTAAGTGATGTCAGGTTCAGGTTACCGCTATTCATTGCGTGTTTCAATTTATCGACAGACACATATTTGTTAGTTGATGTGTAGCGTGTAGTATCAACAAGAATATTCACCAGCTTTAGGCATTCCTGGTTGCGTCGCTCGGACAGGGTTTGTAGACTTAACGTAGCAAGGTGCTACGTTAACGTAGCAAGATGGGAGGCGGAAATGTTGTAGGCCCGTGTGCTCAGATTTGGGTGCACGTTAAAGAACACCAGGTGGTCGAAATTTCCGGAGCCCTTGACTACGGCGTCTCTCATAATCATGTGGTGGTTTTGGAACGTTAAACCACACATATCAATCAACGTATCTAGGTGAGAATAAGGTGAGAAATTCCAGTCGTAACGGCGGAAAACGAAACGGATGTTTTTTTTTTTAAGTATTCTAGCGTGCTGACTTGGGATATTTTATGAAGGTACCAAACGCGGCAGGCGTATTCGAGGAAAGGATGGATCAGCCATTTATATGCCAGAAATTTTGTTTCGCATGGAGCATCTTTTTAGCACAATTTGAACTGGCCAGTTTCTTCGAAACTTTATTTCAAGTGTAATCGATATACTTAGACCAAGACCTGATCATCTTTGACCTACAATTCAAGAATCATGTCTTATGCCAGTCTTTTCTTCCTTCGTTCAGCACACCTTCAGTTTTGCGCGAAAAAAGTCGAGCATGTTCAGCCGACCAGCCCTTCGGAAAGACCTTTCTAGTTCAGAGCAGTTTGTTGTAGATAAACTTATCTTCAAGCCGCTCTTTGAACATGGCCCCTGACATCCGCGTTAGCCTATGGTTGAATTTCGGAAGACTATGACACGACGACCTCGAAGGTGGATGCACATACACCTGCACCATGCAGCACGCACGCACTCTAAAATGACGTCACGAGCCAGACAGATTGTGACCCCGCCCCAAAAAATCGTGATCGAAAACATGAGCAGGACTGTGTCAGTAGTCCCAATGGTCATCTGCTGCCACGTTTCGGTTATGTTACCGGGATCTCTACTGCAATATTCAGTTGTACCCGACTATGTTACTGCTCGATAAGGGCTGTGTTCCAATACTCGCCGTAGACGGCCTAATAGACAGCTAAATGGATGGCGGCCATCGAAAGTCCCATTCCGATTCTCACGTAGCCGGCAAAATAGACAGCTCCTACAAGATCGCATCGTAGACAAATACGATGCAGGCTACTTAGCTGTCCTAAACAAGCAGGCGGCTCAGCGAATCACTCAGATATGCTCAGAAAGATCAAATCTCGCCGGTATGGTCGTCAGCACACAAGCTGACGCTTCTCCAGACGCTCAATGTGAGTAACAATATTTTTGTTTTTGATTTCAACACGAAAAAAAGTCAGAAAATACAACTGTTACGTTTGTTTATTTTAGCTTTTCCTTCTCGACGCGAGGTGGCTGAATCGTCGCGTAAAAGCCATCTAAATGTGTTTCCATTTCTCGGACGGCATGCGCTCGATGCTGTCTTCCTAAGCAGTTTTCGTAGACTGTCTACGTGCTGTCTGTGAGAATTGGAACACAGCCGGGGTGTTCTCTGATGCGACCACGTGACGTCACTCACACAGGGGCGTGAGCTGCGAGACGACGCCGTGGAGTGAGTGGAGCGAATGCAGCGTCACCTGCGGCAAAGGCGTGCGCATTCGTCAGCGAAAGTACAAGCAGCACATGGCCAGGAAGCGCTGCACGCTCGATCTCATGGAGAAGGAGATGTGCGTCGGCGACATGCCCACCTGCAAGGACGCCCCCGAAGTGGTGCGTGCCATATCTTCACTCGTTGCCGGCCGTTTGCTTCGTGGCGGTAATAAAAATGTTCGCGTTCCTAGAAACATTGGGGTGTCTCTATACAACTATTCCGTTACGGGGACTTCGAGTTCTTTCCCACTTGTTACGAAACAGCATAGACTCACTTCATGAAAAGAGTGCATGTGTTGACGAACATGAACCACACAGAATAAGAGGGAAAGGGCGATGGTTCTGAGTCGTTACAATTGAGAAGGACTGTCCGTGGCACCCCTTTTAATTCATGCGTGTATACTATATGCATCCTTAGACCCACTAATGATTTGCTTGTAAGTCAGTGCTTAGTCCGTATCTGTCATGTTGTCCTGTGGTTCGCGCTCCTTCTGTCATTTGCTGTGGACGTGTACCAACTCACCCAAACAGTCACTTTAATGGTAGCGTTTCCTTTCTTATTTCCAACTACACTAGAGAAAAAGAAACGAAATTGGGACACGTTAGATCTTACGTGACAGGTAGTTCGAGGTTAAGATGGCCGATGCCTGGTTATCCACGCAGTGGACGTGTAACGGCCGTCAACTGAATTTCTGTCGTCTGTTTCCCTGAAACTTTTTTCGCAGTTGGACCCGAACTGCGCGGTGACTCAGTGGGCGGAGTGGTCTCCGTGCACGGCCACCTGCGGCAAGGGAATCAAGATTCGAACCCGGGCCTACCTGAACGCCATGGCGGCGGCCATGGCCATGTGCAACGTGGAGCAGATTCAGAAGGCCCCCTGCATGGCCGAGAACACTGACTGCAAGATCGACAGCCAGGAGGCGCACGGTGCGTATACTACTGGGAACACTTTAAATATGCAAATCGCTGACTTGATGCTCTGTGCGCGGAAGCGGATTAGATATTAAAGCAGGGAAAGCGATAGAGAAAGAAAAAAAAGACAAGATGTTAAGATAGAATAAAGAATAAAAAAATGAGGCCCAGTCTTTTGTATATTGGGCGAGGACGTGCTTAGATAACCTCTAATTGCATGGTTTCAAGACACAGCTGCAGTTTCTCATGCAGACCGATACTGTATAAATACGTGGATAAAAGTTTCATCTCATGACTCTATAGCGTCGGACGAAGTGCCTGGAACTATATAGTTGTCTATAAGTGTACTGTAAAGACCTCTGGCGCTACGGCCTCCGTGGCACCTTGTGCCGCTTTCTTGCAACACGAAAATCAGCAAATTTTCAGTAGTTCCACCTCACAAATTTAACCTTTTCGGCTCTATTATTCGAATCACGATTCGCGAAGTTCACAATGATCTAGTCTTTAATCCCGAGCAAACGTGAAAACACAACAATAAACGAATCCACAAGTGCCTCCCAAGTCGGCAGCGCGAATATTAGGCACATCCTTGTACTACGTATCATCCCATGATGGCTGAATGATCGCAGCGCCAGAGTTCCCTGTACAGTTTATTTTGCGAAACCATACACCTACAACAACTATGGCCTAAGGTCCCTAGGTAAAATAACCTGTTTTATCTAGGGATTTTGTGATGTCCGTGAGCTGTTTTCTGTGGGCCGAGTCGAATCTGGCAATTGCAGTTGCACGAAAGCTTAGTCCTCGATATTTTGTCGTGGTTGCTCAGAGGAAGCGCTGTCGCCGAGATATTTTGAGCACTATAGGTGCCTGAAGTATGGCGCAAAGAGCGTGTTTTCGGCGATTTAAGTAATGAAAAGCCTAGACTTGGAGATGTCTGGCTGTTACTAATGCAAAGCGATTGTTGGAATGAGCTCTTGGACACCACCTGTTACCGCATTTAAGATGGGCTCGACAGTTGTCACTCTGATGAGTCGTTGCGTATGCACGAAGGAGACACAGTACAGCTCAATAGCACATGCAATGCGTAGCACCTTTTTTTTTGTTGTTGTTGTTCAACCTGGGGGGGTGATCAATCTTCATCGCCCAATTCATGCCCCAATTTTCATGCTGTTCTAATTTTAAAGGACCTACACCATATATTTGCATGTATATAAATACTCGAATGAAAGGTACATGATATCTTCATTATTCTTCGTAACGACGGTACGAAATATTTCTTTCAATGCCGTAAGGCGTTACAGAGAGGAGGGGTACAATATTAAACAATCAAGAGAAAAGACAACAGCTGGGTGGTTACAAAAAGTGATTGCTGACAGTGGACCTGAAGTGCGCAGCGTCGCTGATGGAGACGATGGAGGCTGGAAGGTGATTCCGCTGCACACTGGTCGTTGGGACAAACGAGTTCAGGTAGAGGTTTGTTCGGGAGTTTGGCACCCCAACTTTTAACGTATGATCAATGCGGGATGACACGTATGATGGAACCGAAAAAAGGGATTGTTTTAAGGTCTGATTGGTGTAAAATATTTTATGGAAACCACATAAGCGGGATATCATACGACGGGTTGCAAGATCAGGTAGTTGTACTACTTGTTTCATGTTAGTGACACTGGATGACCGGGAATAATCGGAGAGAATGAAACGAGCGGCCCGATTTTGGATAGCTTCAAGTGTGGAGACAAGATTGGCAGAATGTGGATCTCATATAGAAGAGGCATATTCAATCTTACACTGTTATTACCTTAACCTTAACTGTTCATGCGTACTAGTATTCTAATGTGCTATTTCATTATATCACCAGCTACATAGTTACGGCCAAGTTTCTCTCAATCTGTCAAGGGCATCATTCATTGCCCGGCGAGACTTCCAAACCAGATGCGAATAAATTCAATTCAATCCGATTACCGACGAGAACGAAAAAGGAAAGTGAAAAGGAGTGTGACCAATCGTGCTCGCAGAAATCTGCCTGCTGCCCAAGGACATCGGACCGTGTCGGGGGTACTTCCCGCGTTGGTACTACGACTCCACCAAGCGCATGTGCCTACAGTTCGTCTACGGGGGATGCCGCGGCAACAGAAACAGATTCGAGCGATATGCGGAGTGCAACAAAATGTGCGAGGTCACAATATCACGTGAGCTCTCACATGCACAATGCCCTTTTGTTTCTTTTGCCATTCTCTTCTCTCTCTTCCTCTGGCAGTTGTTTCTGGCAGATGTTACGTTCCCGATACGTTCCCGCTTCATACGGGCATTCTCGTTTTACACGTTATAAGTATACACATACGCAGTTTGGTTCGTGTGGTCCGGTTTGTAAGTTTTCACTCTTACCGCATTAAGTGCCATTCACTTTCATGGCCTTGTGACGTAGCTCAACCAAATCGTAATGAGCGTTTTAGTGTGACAGATAACATCCAAACTGCTTTGACAAGAACACCTATTGCATCAGGAATGAACAAAAGTCACAGGGCTAGGCCTTTTTTTTTTTCCAATGAGGACGCTGCAATATAACTTCACCAGGCGTGTCCAAAACAAGACATCTCTTGGCCAAATAGAAGGATATGCTATCGCTGTAAAGTGCTCTTTTGGCTGTGGTGTGTACAATCACCACCAGGATTGGGAGACATTTGTGCGTAGTGCCAAATCTCGTGGGCGCCAGCGGCGGCCTGTCGTAATTGAATGAGAAATACAAGAAAAAAGTCATATCTGACGGGGAAAAAAGCTCTTTATCAAAAAGCGACTCCCTCTTCTACACAGCGGAGGCCTAATTAAACATTCAATTAAAATTACAGTATCGTACTACAAACCACGTGTCTTCCCGGTGTGTTAATTATTTTACAATAGGTCCTATGTACTTCTAATGAGTGCAGTGTTCAATTGTTTTTGGAAGCCACCCGCTTTCTACTACGATACTGAAACTTCGCCGAGATGTTTTAATAGGTCTCTGATGTCCAGATCCCGGAGTCGTTTTTAGTAAGCGGCTTGATTGAAAGATATGATCCTTTTAGCCTATTTCTCATTCAGTTAGGACAGGGCGCCATTGCTACCGCTAAGGCACAGTGCCACGTACAGATATCCCCAGCTCATGTGAATGTGTACTTACTGTAGCTTAAATATATAGGTTAATGAGAAACAAGTGCTCGTTTGTGGAGTTTTAAGCAACAGTACTATATTTTAATAGTACAACACTTTATCATCTGCCATGGGCTTTTAGTTCTTTTCATTCAGATGTTCCAGGGGTGAACACGGCCTCTAGGTATCTCTGTATGTGACTACAAGTTCACAAAGAAAAAAAAAAGACCTAGCTATTACTGATTCATTCACTTTGCTTTATCTTTAGACTTGAAAGACTTTTAACAATATCGGACGCAAACTGAATTGACATTTCGAAACCCCAACACAAACAACTTACTTTGAGCGCGGCCTACTAGGAGAACCGGTGTTCAATGACAGTTCAATCAATAATACTAACGAAGCTTAAAACATTGGGAAAGCCTAATCCCCCGTTGAAGGTACTTTTTATAGTACAAGTCTGCGTTCTCTTTGTCTCTTTTGCTTGGTTTTCAGGGTTGAATGTTGCGATAGTCGCCGAGTTTGTCAATGACAGCTAATAAAGAAATATAGGCGTCGAATTGTTAGCTTAAACATAACTTTTCTTTTTTTTCTCTCAGTCAACGCCGCTCCAAGTGTCCGCAAGCTACCGCTCCTCTTATAATCCTTTCACATTTATGTGAAACTTCGAAAGACGTATGACGTCTTCTCTGACGTAATAGGCTTTGAGGCTACGCTGAGAATATAGACCGGCGTAGGTTACCACGTCGTGATACCGGTACAGTCTAGACATTATAAGAGATAGCAATAAAAAGCCATGTTGCAAAAAAATCTGAAAAAAAGTAAAAGTGCCCCTAATGCACACCTCGGGCCGTTTTAAAGTTTTCAAAGGTCAACTCTTCATTTTATTGTAGTACACTTTATATCTCTTGATGTGTCCAGGGAATAAGGAGAGTGTATGAAAAATGTTCTGTCCTGTTTTAAGGGCTCTGCGTGGTTTACGCACTGAGGTAGAAAGGTCGCTTGAAAAACGTACCGCAACAACTATTAGATGTATAAGGCAAGGCATTTTATGCTGTTGTACGGCATGGTATATATTTTTATGTAGTGGTAGGCTATTGTATGGCACGGTTTGTGATGTACCACATCGCGCGAACCTAAAAGTTGGGCTAAGCATTGATGCATCAGAGGCGAAAAGAGCACGCACACGGGTGAGACGAAGATCAGGTGACAAAACACAAGCACCAACTCTCAAATTAGAATACACTAATTGTTTAAATTCTTAGGATAAACATAGTTACTATGCGCAGAGGAGCTAGCGAGGGACCGTGAAGATGCAAACATAAAAACTCGCGCTGAGGAGACTGCGCAGATGCGACAGGGCGTCAAGTCAATCAAATTTACTGCTGATTCGAATTTCTTCTTTTTCATCCAAAAAAAGCCGATATCTCGCTGACGGATCACTTTCCTTACTTTTTAATGTAGAAGGCAAGAGAAATGGTGGAAGCCTTCTACAGTAAAAAGGAAGGACAGTCATGCGTCTACCAAACATTAGCCTACTTGCATAGAAAAAAGAAAGCCTGATCAGTAGTATGTTCAACTGGCTCTCATTTTAGATCAAGTAATGGCTTGGCGTGCTTTGTATAAGCTGCAGGTCACACAAAGCCACACGTAGCTGAAACAGTGCTTAAGCACACCCATGTACCACCCACCATTCCCACGCTACCTGAAACGCCTTGTGCTGCAGCTCCCGCCGACACTACAGCACCAGTTTTCGTTCTATTGTTTTATTTTAAAACGCTACGCTGTCTTTAAGAGGTGAGATAAGACAGAAAAGCTATTTCAGGGCACTTTCACGTGCTGTTTTCCGTTTCTCGAAACATTCTGCTATGTGCTGGTCTGCTGTTTATGACGCTTGCAGTGATTGCGCCCTTTCGCGCCAGCTGCGTTGTTCCTCCTTTCTTATCACTGTTTGCCGCTTGTTGCCTATCTCACTGTACCGTCTTCCTTGTGGGAGCTAATCTCGATGTCTTCTATCTAACAGACAGGAGCGCGTTCAGTTACTTGAGAAAGCGGTGAGATGTGATGTCATTACCACGTCGGCACACTGAACGCTCAATGCACGCTCCCAGCATAAGAGGAAACCCTGGGGGTGTAATGTACACTGTCAAAACACTCAAACTTGACAGTTCTGGCCTTGCATAAGAGCTCGTTCCTCATGCTCAAAACCTGTACAGGTGCGACCTTCACGGGTGCGTAATAGGGGCGGCTGCACGATGCCCAATGTGAGGGCTAATGCGTTCACGTAATCTGAGTTCATGCACGGCGTCAGAGATTGAGGAGTGGATCTCTGGAACATTCGTTCTTCGCGTTGAACCACCCTCCGTCGCTCTCATTTCTCCGGAGTGTTATGAAAGCTTTGGACGTCAAAATTGCATTGTGGACGAAAAACCGCGAACAAGGGGGCGCGCTACTCGCCGAGCGCCAGCCAATCAGCGGCGGCGGGAAGGTACACTTCATTGAATGAACACATCGAGAATATCTCCCTTTGTGTTACGTGCCGTTTTGCCTCATCTGTCGCCCTGCCTCTTTGTGCACGTCTGCCTCTGTCGCAGAGCTAACGCAAGGACTCCTGTCGCCTTCGGCACTGGGCCAAAGCTACGCCATGAAAGACACCACGCTGCACGTCGAAAAGGGCCTTGTGTGTGGTCTGTCCCGCTTGCCTATGTCGCTCGCAGACAATGCTTCTTCTTTTGGGGCAGCGCCGCGGTTTGTGCGGTGCATTTGAGTTCGCGCTTTAGGCTTGCACCTACGTTCTTAACGCTTTGCGGGAACAGTCCAGATAACACTGTTTTCGCACTGTAATTAGCTGGAATAACACACCTAAAGCTGATTGATCATACCGAAGCAAAAACAGCGATAACTTGGTGAGGATGGACCGAGGCAACATAGGACATAGGCACTGCGTCCGTCCTAATCAGGTTTCCGCCGTTTTTGCCTCGGCCTGGCATTAACACTGTATAATCTGGAAGTTTGCTTAGCCTAACTAATTTTTATTTCCCTTACTTCGCAAAGCAAAATTGATCGCTAATTAATCAGTGATTCTAATGAACGCATGTTCTCATTATTGCACAATGATTTGAGGTTCTTTGGCCACACTTGATCCCCCGTGCCTGAAAGCGCCATCTAGTCATCATCACCATCATCTAATTCCTACATGAAGCACTATGTAGGATAATCTAATGGAGGTGACGAGTTGGCAAAGATGTCGCGTTCACGAATGACAAATGAGTGCATAAGTGTAAAGTTGCTCGTAAAGTGACTTGTGCAACATAATTAGACCTATCTTTACGGTGTATAGGCGTGTTCGGAAAGTGTAGCCCGAGCTTAACCACTTCAATATCAGGTTCCGCTAGGCAGTGGCAGTGGTTCCGCTAGGCAGTGATAAGTACACCTAGCAAACAGTTCTAGTTGAGCTAACACGTGTAAAATAATGTGAAGCTGCAAGCCAAAAACACGGAGGCATCGATACTTTGCGCATAATTTTATGGCAGTGCTGCAGCAACCATCTCGCGTGAACTTTTCGCCGAATTAAGATAGCTTTTCTATACCTAACACCGTTAGCCATAACCACTGTAGCTTTTCGTCGACAGAATCTTGATAAAGCCTTCCTTCATATTCCTTTTTTTTTTTTCATTTTACAAGACAGGTGAGCGAGGTTGAGTAGTGGAGACTGAATTCATCTCTTTAACGTCAAACTGAAAATGTCACTGTCAGACTGTAAATTTTTATTGGTGGGCTGTACGGTAACAAGGTTTAAATTTACCACACTCTTTCTTTCCTTCGCCTCCTTACACTTTTTGGCATTATTGTTCTGTATTTGAATGAATATAGCCGCTCTGTCTTTCATGTGTCTCGCTCCGTAGTCTTTGCCCCGTGAGCTTTTTTTAAAAAAAACAAAACGAAACAGCTAGTTCAGGTACCGAGTCTTCAGGTCAAGTCTCTACCAACTCTACTCTCTATATCGCTTCATCTCTTTATCGTTTATCCATGGTACCGCTTCTGACCGTACTTTGTGCTGCGTCCCTTCCGTCCTTTTTTCTCCCATCGTGGACTAAAGCGCCCATCGGCAAGCTGAACGGTCTGGCGCCGGTCAACGTGCTTCCGACGACGAGCGACGAGCCCACGTCGCCGGTCATCGACTGCGTGCTGACGCCGTGGTCCCAGTGGGGTCCCTGCTCCAAGACCTGCGGCAACGGTCGCCGCGAGCGACGACGCATGATCAAGCTGAACCCGCAGAACGGCGGAAAGCCGTGTCCCAAGCGACTGGTCCAGAGACGAAAGTGCAAGGAGAACCCGCCGTGCCGTAAGCCTTTCACTGTTTTATCAGATGCGAAGCCGCTTTTCGCTCGCGGCCGTGTCCGTCCCTCGGCGACCGTCCGCTCTCCCACGGCGCATGCGCCTACTCTCCCGTCTCTTCTCGCTTGAGGAGGTAGAGTGGAGGAGGTGGCAGAGCGCTGCCTTCGCTTAGTGTCTCCTCTCCCGTTTATTTTAACATATTTCTTTTAATTTTTTACATGCATTACAGATATATTTCTTGATATGATCCCCAACGATTTTCTCTATGTTACTTTCAATTGCCTCGAGGAGAAGTTTACGGTTGCAAACTAGCTGTAAAAAAAGACATAATTAAACAGAAACGCGATACATTTCATCTTTAAGTGTGCGTCAAAATGTAGAGAGCCTTTGCGATGCAGCAAGCCACGAAAAAAAAAAGGCTGTCACTATAACATTAACTTGCTAGGAACTAAACTGCGGCAAAGAGGAAGCCAACAGAGAGGGAGAAGGCAGGCAACTTACCCAGAAGACTTCTGGTTACTACGCTTCATTGGAAGATCGGAGAAGGGCAATAGAAAGATGAGAAAGAGAAAAGGAAGAGAAGGAAAACTGCGTCAAAGACTTTACAAAACAGTTGTGGAATAATATCTGAGCTCTTACTTCGTTGTGGTGCCATACTGTTGACCATGAAATTTGTTTAAGTGGGGTTCCCATTTTTATTGTTTTTCGCCCTTTCTGTTGTCACACCAATTGAGCGAATATTCTCTTTTCAATGCTATCGGCTGGCCTCAGAGGACACGAAGGAATCGAGAAAAGGTATGTCTGTGTGGTCGATGTGGTGTCCAGAAGTTGTTCTCTGTTATAATACCGATTTATCCGACATGCCTTCAGGGAAAAAAGACCGGAACAAAGGTGAGCCGACTTGAATGTATACTATAGCTGCACTCGTATGCATTCTACGATGCACAATGTGTCCTCGTACCGTCTCACTGCTCAAATGTTGCGTTGACCGGAGCGAGAAACATGTAACAGTGGCGCACAATGTTCCAGCTTCGATTCAGTTGAGGGCATTTCATTGTCCTTGGACACCGCCTGAGTGGATACTAAATAAACACATGGTTGTTCATATTGTAACGATGGTTCGCTACACCTATGTAATCTGATGAATTGCGCCTGGTCTTGAGCTATATTCGTTTGACTATTAATGTCCCGCATGCGTTTATCCGTGATAAATGTTTTGAATGTGCAAAAGTTTAGAGCCATGCAAGTGAGAAGAAGAGCAGCACATGCGTCTGAATAGCTGTTACGGGGCAAGAACACTCCTATCGGCGGCAGACATCAATGTAATTGCACGCGTGTTTTAAACACTGCAGCTCGTTATGTCATGAAACAAGTCCAGTCCCAAATTGTAAAGTTTGCGGCAGGGTTCGGCCTCGTATTACAGGGTGTACCATGCTGCCGAGCCGGTCTTGTTTTCTTCGTTGGTTCTGTCACCGATCATTTCCTCCTTTCTCAACTCCCACTTGCAGCGGTGGACTGCATGCTGACTCCGTGGAGCGAGTGGCGGCCCTGCTCCAAGACCTGCGGACCGGGAGCCGTACAAGAGCGACACCGCACCATCAAGCGGCACCCGAAGAACGGAGGCTCAAGCTGTGACGCCACTTTCGAACGGCGCTACTGCACGCTGCCACCGTGCGACTACCGACGACGCTAACACTCCCGGGAAGGCCTACGGGCCATTCCCCACGTCCCGTAACGGGACCACACACTCTCACGGTCAGTGCCATTCGTGTCCCCTCTCACAAGGGATTCTACTCTTCGGAAAAGAAAGGCGGCAAACTGGATGACAGTGTAAACGGAAGGCTTATCTACATCTGCTACTAACAAGGTCCCTCTGATAGTTTGCGAGTGGTGATCAAAAGGCGACTGAAGGCGTTCCCACCTGCTCCTGCGATCATTCCCCCCCACCGCAACCCATGTTTTCCAGCTATCTCGCTTTACCAGTATACCGTAATGTGAGCTGACGTCCTGTTCTTGCGCATTTGATGGATTCAGAGGTTCGCCAGTGCACCAGTCAAGCAGCGAGTCACTGGTAAAAAGCTGTCGCTCTGCAAACATAGTAGCAATTTGACACTTCAATCATTTGCGACCGGTACTTTCAAACTGTCTTAGTCGCTGGTGTTAACGAGCCTTTAGGCAATCAAGGGTGTGTTTCATATTTGTGGTTAACAGCGAGAAAATAACACGCTGCGGACAAGACGGGACAAGAGCTGACTTGCAAATGAAATTTATTGACAAGAAGGCTATTATATATAGCTGAGTGAACAGAAAAAAAATATTGAAAAAAAGATGACAGATGCAAAGATATGGCATAACATCAACAATCACTGAGCCTGCTACGCCGACCCACGCACCCAAAAAAAACAGAGTTTTCTTTCCGACGGAGCAACTGACTGACGGCTTGCTTACGCACGCGCTACTTTCAAGCGCCATCTCAGCAGCCTCATAGATTATACGCTCGTGATCTTCTTTAATCTTATCGAGAACTGTGGTCCTTTGGAGCTGCGGAGCGCAGCCACACTTGCTCACTTGTAGTGCCAAGAAGCCATCTCTGCCATCGCGAACGTCTTCCGTAAACGTTCGTTTAGCCATATGCCCGTCTGGCCCACGTAACATGCACCACAAGTCAATGAAATCCTGTACATCACTCCTTGCTCACAGTTGACAAACTTCGTCCTCTGCTTGACCACGCTCTGCTTTCCGTGCCTCTTCACGGGGCAGCTCCTGTTTGTCAACTGGAGCAACTTGTCACGAGCACTGAAAACCACTTTCACGTTGAGGCGTTGTCCTATTTTCTCTACGCGATGTGACGCAGAGTTCACGTACGAAATGACCGCCATTTTTTCCCGCTTTTCCGCAGGGGTGAGCTATAAGTTACCTTCACTGCCCTTACGTTTTTTTCCCCTGTGCATTGCCCCCGCCACAGAAATGGGCAAAGGTCACGGGTACCCTTCTCCTTCTAGTCGTTTCGACTGTGCCTGGAGACTAGCTTCCAAGACGTGTTGGCAGGACCTCTCTAGGGCATTCTGGAAACATGACTGTACGATGACTCTCTTTATCAAAGTAGTAAATAAGATTTGTCAACATAAATTTTAGTTGGAAGTTAGCGCTTTCACGTCTTTTTCTGTCTGCTGTGTGTTAGTTTCGTGCTGTTAACCTTAAGTATGCACAACCAACAAGCCCAGTCAGCCACTTTGTTAGGTGTGTTCTAGTTCCGGTATTCGAGTTCTGTTAACATGTGTTTCAAGTCTAAACTCTTCGTCTTCGTAGCCGAACTTTGAATGCACAACATTCCTTGCTGTTTTGTTGTTTTTGTTTTCTAATTTGTAACTCAACACTTCGCAGTGGTCGTCACATGGAGAATAGTTGATTGAACACTAAGGTGTGGACAAGCACTGTCGACCTGCTCGTAATCTGTTAAAGCATGGCGGGGCGTAGATCTGGCACTGCCTGATAAAATCGGTTTTTTTTTTTCTTATGTTCGCAGTGTCAAACTGAAAGTGACCTGGGTATGAGTACTTCAAGACGCCCTCCCGACGCGACTTCACACATATCGCCTGGGCCCTTCGACCACCAGTCTCTCTGGACACACCACTTCACGACTCGACTACCGCCTCTGCCGTCTTGCTGCTGCATAGCGCCGCTGCTATAGAACGCTGCTCTTAGACTGCGGAGCTCTGTAGTTTTCACTCGCATTCAGTTGTTCCCTTGAAGACGCATCTCTCGACGCTGGTTAGCGCTGCTTCGAAGATAGTTTAAAAAAACGGTGCTGCGAAGACAAAAGAAAACCTGCTCCATGGCATCAAGCTCCATCTCGCCGACTTGCACTACTACTGCTACATTCATCTATGCTGCACAATACGTCACTACACCACGTGACACCTGCTCCAGACGCTCGCTGATTTTGCTGTTCCTTTTTTTTTTTCTTGTCTGTTATCACCGAAATCGGCTGCGACGCTGTAGATAATCGTATACGCTGCTTCGTAGGGCACAAACCGCATTTCACCGACACGTGGAATAACGTCTACCGATGAACGAGCCGACTTGGCCCGTCAAACTTTTTGTGAGTATAGAACGCCGAGCTTTCCGTACTTGCATGAGTGGGGCTTTGCGGAATCTCGAAGTTGCCTCGAAATCGAAGGCGAAAACGATGACGCAAGCAGTGCTAGTGCTGCTGTTGGTTTATGTTCAAGGTAACTGTTACTAATAACCCAATGTTTGTGTAAAAGAGTGCGTATACGATGTTATATATAAAAAAAAGAAAGTCCCGGTGTATAATTACGTGTTACAGTCGTTAAGATTTGGTGTGATTATTAATATCATCGTGCGTTGTGTCGTTAGTTAGGCTTCGTGAGTCCTTTGAGCATGTATTGTAAATATTTCCGCACCAGTTTTACTGGTGCTGAAAACAAAATCTTGCTGCGAGTTGGCAGCTGGTAAGCGTTTCTCCATAGAGATGACAGACGCGTTGCAGAACCGAAAGGTGCAGTAACATGTTACTGTTTGATTGGTAAAGTTGATATCTCACCATTAGCAGTGTGGAAGGGGTGATGCTTATCTGATGCTAACATGTTGAAGCGGTTAAGGAAAATATTTCCTTAACGTACAACTTTAGGCGATTAAGTTACCCATTACGGATGCGTGTTACTTTATACGTCGTTGCCGCACTCAGTTTCATTTGAAGTAATTACATTGAATTGCTCAGGTCCGATTGCTAACGCGTGATGAAACTTTTACAATGACGAAATATTTACTGAATCCAATGAACATCACAAACCTGTGGGTGACCAGGAGTCAAACTTTGTTCTGTCTACAAAACGCCTCTGCAGGACTATGTGGGTGTGCTTAAGTCAAAGTACTCTGGCATCATCTAACCCGTTCTACATTTAGCCTGTGGCTCAATAGGTCTTTTGTAAAAGTTTCTGCCGACTCCCCAGAATATGCGGAGGTACATTTTGTCATTCATATACAACCGGCGACCTGGCTAACGGTTGTGAGATATGCATTTCCCAAGAGGATTTTTATTGTCATTGCATTCGATATGTTGGCGTATTCATTGATTCGCTGTAAAGGTGTTTCGTGTTTCTACTGACACCCGAATTCATGCGATATTTGATCAGCACTGCAAAGCACAACAGAAGTAGGCTGTTCGTTGTAGCCAAAGTTAGATTTTATGTTCATCAAAACCAAATGTGCCATTCGCGCATGATTCACGACACAGCGTTCAAGAGCTTGTAAGAAAACACTTTTTACTCAAAATCTCTTGAAGTGAAAATTCTTTAGTTTGTCGAGGCTGAACACAAATAAGAAGTATAGTGGTTGTGTCGTTACCCTTAACTATTCTACCTTTAGCTTTTTCTGGTATAAGTGTCCTGCGTCTGATTCGTTACTTGTACGAGACGCAGTCGAGATGCTGCGCTGACCACATGTAAAATTTGTGCAAATCCGCCTTTTTCATTTTTCTTGTGCTGCCCTATTTCGCTTTGGTAAACCTATGGTAGGGGCCGGGACAACCATTATGACCAGAAATAAATCCTCCATGATCGTGAGGCATTTCTCCAACTCTCCGCCAGGGGCAAGCGCGCATGCACATTGGTGTTGTGATAAAGGCGGATTTGCACCTCGTCTTATGATGTACCAGAGTCTCTTCGATCGAGCAGTCCATGGATGCACGCGTCGTAAAAGCACTCTAAAAGATCCTCCCGACTGTTCGCCTGGTGTTCTCTGTATTCCAAGTCTTATCGTTCATGGCATGACCATGGGTCGTTGCAACGCCCGCCTGGTGATTGCCATTTTCCACGTCTTCCGAACGCGCCTTCTAAGGTGACCACGGCTGTCCCTGAGTTCATCAGGGACGGCTAAGAGAAGAAGGCTTCTTTTTTCAGACGCTTGTGCATCTATGTATCTATTTATCTCTTACCTGTGTGAGTGCATGTTTAGTGCGTAAATGCAGCTTAAAGTTAGGCGGTGCCTTTGAGATAACGAAAGAGAAAAAGTCACGATTCGCATATTTGTTACCTACCATTTCAATTCTTCGTCCCATTACCTGGAGTCGCTGAAGTTGTGCAGGTTGGCTCAGACCTTTTTGGGCTATCGTGGTTTGTAGAGTTTTGAATATTCGAGGTGTGGCGCTGACGCAAAAACAATTTCGTGCACATGGCCGGCTGAGTGAAGGGTACAGTGAAGTGTGTACGGACGCTTTTTGCAACCAATAAAGACCTCACGAAGATCGCTTGATCTGGCGAAAAGGGAAATCACCGAAAGTGATCGGAGTCGTTTCGATTGGAAGCACAAGAGAGGTTTTTACCTTAGAACATTCGACAAGATAACTTAGCGGAGACAAGCTAACGCTCAATACAAATTAAACCTTACAATAACCAAGTCAATAGCATCAAACAACATCTTTGTTTTATCTAGGACCTAATTAACCATCAAACACTAATTTATCACACTTGAGACAAACAAGTATTCAATTGATAATGACAGACGCAATATTCGGCTTCATTGGCTGTCCGTGACTCCGGCACTGCAGAAGCAGTTTACATTGAAGAGACAACAAACGTTTCAACTTGACTTGAGCAAGGCAGCTGGAGACATTTCGGAGATCCATCGCTAAATTTTGGTGTGACAATGTCATTGGAACACCAATTTAAGCCGGAATTTGTCACTGTAAATTATTTACTTATAAAGTGACCAAAGTTTTGTGCATTTTGAACTTAGGTACGAAAGGTTTTACCTAAGACTACATTTCAAGTTTAGATTGTCTCTGATGCATTCAACTCGTCAGGCTTAACTAAAGACACATGAGTGGAACTTAAGAGCACACAATGTTGCATTGAAATTTTCTGCAGTAAAACCTGTTATATCAATGTTTGATATTGTTCATTTATTGCTGAACCTTATATTCTGTATGATCAATATTGAAGATGAATTTATTGCAATGCCGTGGTCACGCTCGGGCAAGTCGATCTCGTGGGGGCTTTTTGGGTCGCTGCGAAGGCCTTTGTTTTTTCCTGTATGTGGTGTTGCATTAGTTTTAAAAGATCGTATCAGTTGAGTGTCGTCGTTTCACATATAGCTTTTGAAGTGTTTTTTGCTGTTCTCCAGTTGTGAAGCGAATGATTATTTTGTCCCGTCTCTGTCATGGGTCCAGTGCTCAAATCCTGCTTATCTTGTCGCATACCTTTGAACAGCACTGGATGCACTCATGTCAGTGTTATCATTCTCTTTTTTTTGTTTTTGAAGACGATTTCTAACTGGTGCCACCTCCACCAACACTTTGAAATTTACTAAATTTTCCACACTATCAGAACTGATTAACAGTGACCGGTATTGGTTGAATGATGTCTAGTTTCGGCTGGTTTTGGCTAATTCTCAGTAAATGATGGGTTGTGCTGTGAAATGTTGCCCAGACGTTGCTGTACGACTACGTGAATCAAGTATCATTGGCTTATGTAACCAATGTTTACTGTCGCTAAATCATGGTTAACGTGGTCACATGATAATTAGGTCATATGCGTAGGCTAATTTCAGCATGCTCTCTTACAACAACTACAATCTCTTCGTCACGTATCGATTCGGATACAGTGTTGTGCGTCGCAGCTACTACATATTTCTGCTCAGTCTTCCAGATTTTTTTTTTACGATCGTGCCCAAAATACCCAAAATGCATAGAATTGGCGTCGCTTTAAGCTTACCGACGTCTGAAATATTATCCAGCCCCTTGTCAAAATTCTTCAGCTTTGTCTACAATAATAGCCAATCACCAAAAAATATTTGGATATAGTAACTTTTCAATTAGGATTGCAGCGTCTGCGGTAAATTTGTTTTTGTCAACGTAACACGCTTGCACATGCAGACTCAATTGGAAATTGCCAGAACATAATAATAATCAAGGCACGTAACTCAACATGATGCAATGAAGAAATCTTCTCGCTTACGTCAATAAGGATGCTTATAAATAAAACCAAGCACCAGCTGCCCAGCAAAATTACTAGCTAGCTTTCCAGGAAACCAAATAAACGATACGAAAAATCACCTCACAGTCGCTCTGCGGGTTGTTTGTGTTGTATAACAAGCGTTTGACACCATTGGTTGTGCCGTCTACCTTGTGTTACGTTATTTCTTGTCGTACTCTTTGCCTATAGCCAGAGTGACTGTACAGTTAGATAATTGTTAACCAGATGCAATATTTCATAAAATAAAATTTCTCTCGAAAAGAACGAGTTGCGTGCTGTGACTTTTTCAAAGAGTGATCTAAGAATGGAGTAGGGAACGCCACGCAAGCATTATAATTCTAGATTTTTTTATTTGTTTCCTTGAAGTAACGTTTGGGATCGGGATAGTTTGTATTCTCAGTTTACTTGTCAGCGCAAAAATGGACACAAAAACGCAGAAAAGACTATCCTGAATTCGAAAGTGGGGTGCAGAACGTAACAGGCACTTCTGTAGTTCCATTTCCGTACTACTTCCCTGTTTTCGCATTTAGAATGATTCGTTACCACCTAGCCCTGTCTTGTTTGCACAAAGACGAGAACATACGTTGTTCGGAATGTAGTTGCTAGGCCCTGTTCGAGAAAACTTGAGATCTTGCGGTTCATCCTTATGGTGGTATTCATAGAAGCTGCAACAGAAAACAGTTGTTTCAGTAAAGCTCCATTATTCTTATGCGATAAAGAACTTGCCGTCTTAGAGTGATCGCAACCTGGTTTTTGAAGGAAGTTCGTTGTTTTACTGTGGTTTTGTTCATCGCTTTTACGGGCGAAAGACTTTAAACTTGTCCGGTGTCCATTTTCCCGGCTACATTATATGAAAAAACGCTTGGGTAACGTACGGTATAGTCGAAACATACGTGAAACACAAGATAATCTTTAACAGCCTGACATCAATCATAATTGAGACAGAGCAGTATGAAACACCTGCAAGCACAAAACATTTACACTGGTCGGTGAATTCAATGTCAACGTTATGATAAACGTTCTTAGTAGTCGACAATCTCTATGTCAATTTACGATACGTAGAGCAATGATCGGGTACCATACGCGAGACAGAAAAGAAAATGGATTAACAATATACTAATACCAATCGTAATTATGATGGAATGTAAAAGATCTACGAGCACAAGCCATTTATACTAGTCGGTGACCTTAACGGAGACAGAATGGCCCGTAGAGCAGCTTCGCCCACTCTGCAGGATCCGCTTCGTGAAGATGTGTGGATTTTTTGTTTGTTTGTTTGTTTGTTTGTTTGTTTGTTTGTTTGTTTG